GTAAGCGTCAGGTTCGTGCAGGCTGCAGATGTTGTCATTCAGGCTGTGGCTGCTGTAAATGTGGAGGAGCAATATTTGTCAGACACTTTGTCATTTTTGGTGAAACTGAGCCACTTGTCCTCAGCGACTTCAGTGTGCTGTGTGTGATGTACTAAACTAAAAATGACTTTTTTAATGTGACATTTTCATTATCTTGCCTGATACGTCACGCAGATCTATCATCGCTGTTTCTTTATCCAGTTTAGTTTATTAATTGACATGTTATAACTATGGCAGCCAAAAGCTGATTTTTTTTATTTTTTATTTCATGCTGGTAGGCTGTTATAGAATGTGAATCTTTTGCTGTTGCATCCAACATTTCTCACCTGTTTCACAAGATAGTGATGGGAAGGTGAGACAGAAAAGCTGTTATTGCCATAAAAGCCCTAATCTGGCCCTTGTGAGTCTTGGTGTTTGGTTTTATGGTGTGTTTGTTAGGCTATGTCCACATTAGCCCGGATAGATTTGAAGTCGTTTTCACAGAGGCGTGCATCCACATTGAAACGACCGAAAACGCTTACGTTTCAGTCCTGCGCATGCGCGAAAGCGAGTGAGAATTAAAGGATTTGAAGAAAAGCTATCTGGAGCATGTACAAACTGATATTAATCTTTTTTTTTTTTTTAGGGCTGTCAAAATTGAGAGCAATCATAACAACTGCTTTATAATGCACTCAACTAGCTTTGTTTAATTGGTCACATGACTAAAATGCGGCATTGTTTTAGAAAGTCTGTGTTTTCGAGCGTCCACACTGCGACGGGGCAGCTCCATTTTGAAATGAATGCGTTTTTGAGAGCGTTTCCAAAACGCTGCATTTTTTTTCCTTGAGGAAAACGTCGTCTCAGTGTGAACAGGAGGCCAAAACGGAGAGAAAACGACGCGTTTTCGTTTGAAAACGCATTAGTGTGGACGTAGCCTTAGAAAGTTCTTGCTCCTTTTCTTGCTTTTTCTGTTTCTTATTTTTCCTCCTTCTGCCTCCACTTCTTTTCTCTTCTTCAGCTACCTGGGGCAGCTGACTCTTTGGCATGTTAAACGCTTGCATATTACAGTTCACATTGAGGAAATCGGATCTTGAGCAACAGCTCTGCCCTCTGGCACAGGGGGCAACCTGTACATAGACACACAAGCATGGACACACAGTGCAGTGTGAGCTTCACGGCTGCCTCTAGCCAAGTGCCTTGTGTTGACACAGGCTCTGTGTGGCACAGGCCCATATAGCTGAGCTGTTGTTTGCTGAGCTTGGTCCATGCCGTACTGGCTAGAGAGATAATGGAAAAGGTTATTCTTCTTTACAGTCGAAGCCTCTGTCTCCAAGCAGCAGACTGGTTTGTTTGGGATTGGGGGTTTTTTTGTGTCTGTAGGCAGAATTATAATGTCAGGGCTTCTCGTACCATTTGGATGTGTAATGGCCGAGGTCACTGTCAGAGTTTTACAGGACTGCACGTTTTATGTTTTTCTAAATAAAAGTCTTAAGTGCCTGTGCCTCTTCCGACCTTAGCGCTTCTGAATTTCCAAATGTTTTGCGGCCATAGTACGAAACGCATTTCATGCATGTACAGGATACCAAATGTTGTTACCCTGAAAGAATGCCTTCCCTACTTAAAACCATGGTAGAGTACTCGCTACCGAGCCATTAACAAAAAAAGAGAAACAAAAAAACTTTATCCTGTGAATCAAATAGATCTGCTCTTACAACCTGAAGCTATCTTGTTGCTTCGTATAGTCTCAGTCTATTGTTCTATGAATGCAGAGGAGGCTATTTGCAGTTAAAAATGAGACTGAGCGGCATGTCGTGGTGAGCGGGGTACAAAGCGACAGGTCATTCCTAACAATGTCGGGCTAGCTTCCTGTAAGTGCGGCAATCAGAATTCTGATGGTTTTTTGTAACTGCTCGATCGCAGTGTGGAAAATGTCTCTTTTTTTTCTTTTTTTTTCTCCCCCCCCACATGACCCATTATGCAGCCTGCTGAGAAATAATGAGATTTTGTCCCTATTTGGGTTTGATGCTCTCTGTGCTCCAACACACAACCAGTGCATCCACTGCTGCCCGGGGAATGTAGTGTGGAGAGAATTACAATAAGGGCTAATGGCAACATCCAGGCTAGGCAAAAGATGTTGTTTGCTAAGAATCCCAATGTGTCTTTGACATGACATGGTTGTCATTTGAATCACAGTATATCTAAAACGCTCTGTTTTTTGTTTTTTGTTTTTTCTGTGTGGCAGGTTAATTGTGAATGCACAGGCCACTCTGGGCATTAAAACATGGCTTTGAGTTAAACCACTTTAAAGTAACACAAACTTTTAAATAGGTAGCCTTACTGTCTTTTATCTGTTTCACTGTTAAAAGACGATTATCAACCCATGTAACCTTTGCCTTCCAAGAAATGAACTTTTAAGATTCTTTTTAAAGGCATCAGTGGCGGCAAAATATCTCAGAGATGAGCTGACACTGCTTATGCTGAAGGCTGCTGCAGGAGCTTGGGTTTGAATCTGCCTCAGACCATTTCCTGTGTGTCATTCCCCCCTCCCTGCTTTCCTGTCTGCTTTCGGTGCTTTCCTATCAATAAAGGCAGAATGCCAGAAATGAATCTTAAAAAAGACAACAGTGAAACACAAATAATGGTCCTCGTCACCATAACCAAATCTGTTATTTTTTTGTATTAATGTGGTGAAAAAACAACCTTGTCAGGTGATTCTCCAAATTAGCTCCAAACAGACAGTGTCATTGTGTTATTTTATGTATGCTAATTTAACATGACTTTGGCTACAACATAAAAAAACAGCGACTGAAGCAAATTCAAATGAAGTCATCTGAAGGGAAACCCTGAGTAGTGGAATTTAATGTGATTTTTACCTTGAAACATACCACCCATCTTAAACTTTTTGGAAACCAAGGAAGCACCCACAAGACAGCGCTTCCAGCCAGAATCCTCAGGAATGACTTGAGGAGAGTTAAAGGCACAGATCCCAACATCACTGAGCATCCAAAGTACACGTCGGAGCAAGCCTGCCCCATGGAAACCCTGCCCACAGCACTCAAAGTATCCGCTTCCAATATCCTCTTTCCAAGACAGCACAGGGGAAATTCTCAGAAATCCTGTGTCTGTGCCCTACTATGTCATACCTGTTTTGTTAGCATATGGGTAAGTTACAACATAGTCTCTGTAGTTATTCATAACAGTACTTGCTGTCTTGGCTGAAACACCTTTTAGTGAAGGTTACGAATGATCTTCTTACTGCCTCTGACAGCGGACTCGTCTATGTGCTTGTCCTGCTAGATCTCAGTGCAGCTTTCAGTACTGTTGATCATCACATTTTATTACAGCGATTAGAGCACGCTGTAGTTATTAAAAGTACTGTGCTACAGTGGTTTATATCATGTCTATCTAACAGACTCCAATTTGTTCATGTAAATGGAGAGTCCTCTTCACACACTACGGTTAATTATGGAGTTCCACAGGGTTCCATGTTAGGACAAATTCTGTTTACATTATACATGCTTCCCTTAGGCAGTATCATCAGAAGGCATAGCATACATTTTCACTGCTATGCTGATGACACCCAGCTTTATCCATGAAGCCCGATAACACACCAAGTAGTTAAACGGCAAGAATGTCTTAAAGACATAAAGACCTGGATGACCTCAAATTTTCTGATTCTAACTTCAGATAAAACTGAGGTTATTGTACAGAGCCTTCACCTCTCAGGCCCCTCTTCTGTGGAACCAGCTTTCGGTTTGGATTCTGGAGACAGGCACCCACTCTACTTTCAAGAGTAGGAACCAGCAGCAATAGATCTAGGGTCCTGGGGCAGTCCAGTGAGTGTCCAGCATGGAGTGTTTTTTCTTCTTCAGTAACCTTTTTCACTCGCAATGTGTTTATACACCGCTCTGCATTTAATTATTATTTGCTATTATTATCTCTGGCACTCTTCCATAGCATATCTTTGTCCTGTCTTCATTCACTCACCCCGAACCGGTCATGGAAGATGGCTGCCACTCCTTTAGCCTGGTTCTGCTGGAGGTTTCTTCCTGTTAAAAGGGAGTTTTTCCTTTCCCATGTCGCCAAACTGTTTGCTCATAGGGGTTCATATGATTTCTGGAGTTTTCTCTTTTGTCTTATTGTAGGGTCTTTACCTTACAATATAAAGTGCCTTGAAGCAGCTGTTGTTGGGATTTACAAATACTGCAAGTACTGTTACAGTGTGGCAGAGAGACACATAACGTCAGCATTGGAATTTAAATTCCCCATAAAGATACTTTTATAAAGTATCTTCATAAAAGTATCATTAGTTATACAAGAAGCAGGCCTAAATGTTTATTCACTGTCACTCAAAGTGAATGCTGGAATAACAAAAAGGAATGTTAAGATAATCATTACCCACTTTGTATTACCATTGTACCTCATGCATCATCAATCAATAGGATGTTATGGCTCACAGCATGGCTGTTTTTCATCACGGCCCTGGCTAATAACTCATAAGGTTGCTTCAGCACTGTAAAGAAGCAGTGTGTGCCAAACCAAGGACAGACTGAGTCTGGGTTATGTCTATTGAAGGTTAAGTAGGGGTGTGTTTTAATCTATTTATGGCTAATTATATCTCTGTGTGGGTCAGGTTTGTGTGCGGGTGTGTAAGAGAACAGTTCGTTTGCAGGGGTTTAAAAAGCTGGCAGGAACGTTAAGTTTAGATGTTTCTGTTTTTGAGCATGCACAGTTTCGGGGGTTTTCATTTGGCCCGTCGCACTTGGAAACATGCTTAGCAACCAATTTCTTCGTAATGCTTTGCTCGTTGGACTGTGGCAAATTGAAAACTGTTTGATTTCATGTTCGTGTTTTTAATTATTTCTCCACGTTGGTCTCTTGCTTCTCTTGCCTTCACTCACCTATCCTGCTTTTTTTGTTTCCTCTTTCAACATGGTTCTCAGTAGCTCTTCTCTAACGTTTTTCTCTCTATGTTTTTGCAGGCCTCATCGCAGCAGCTGAAATTCACGACCTCTGATTCCTGTGACAGGATCAAGGATGAGTTCCAGTTTCTTCAAGCACAATACCACAGGTGAAAACACTGCTGCATGCAAACAAAATTGAAAAGCTGTACATATGACAGCCTGTTAAGTGCAGCTCTTTTTAATAAGGAATATATCCCCAGGCTGTACATGTGTATTTTCAGGATTTCTGTTTATTGAACATACTGTGTTTGTGTACCAGTAGCCGGTATGTTAAACATAAACTGAGCTGTGTTGTGGCAACAAAAACCTACCATTTCTTGGTCAGAATGGCTTTTAATGCGGATGTATGTCCTTTTTTCTTTTTTTAAACACTTTGTTTTACATCAATAATCACTAACAGTAACACTTGGAAACTGCCTGACTCTACAGCTAGCTAAAACTCAGGGACAGCGAAGTAGTTTATATTTGTGAGCATATTCAGACAACATTTACTGTCTTAATATTAAATAAATTCAGATAATAATAGTGATAATTAATTTTATAGGAATTGTAAAGAAGTAGCAAACAGAGGGTTTGCTGATGGTTCACGTCCTCTTAATTAAATTTAATTGAATACAAAGAAGAGAGTCTTGAGTTCAATTCCACCATCAGGCCGGGGTCTTTCTGTGTGGAGTTTGCATGTTCTCCCCGTGTTTGCGTGGGTTCTCTCCGGGTACTCCGGCTTCCTCCCACCGTCCAAAGACATGCAGCTTGTGGGGATAGGTTAATTGGATAATCCAAATTGCCACTAGGTGTGAATGTGCGAGTGAATGTGAGTGCGAATGGTTGTCTGTCCCTGTGTGTGTTGGCCCTGCGACAGACTGGCGACCTGTCCAGGGTGTACCCCGCCTCTCGCCCCATGACAGCTGGGATAGGCTCCAGCGCCCCCCGCGACCCTGAAAAGGATAAGCGGAAGCGAATGGATGGATGGATGAATACAAAGAATTAACAAAATATGATAACAGTGCCAGGGTTAAGTCTGTATTTTCACTTTAAAAAAACAACAAATGGTATCATTGTTTGCAGGATACCTTCAAGAATTTAAATAAAAATCATTAGACTTTTAAGATGAATGTTTGCAGCCAAGCACAGTGTGAACTCGAAGAGAACTGTTCTGTGGTAAGAAAAAAATGGAGATGTGTGCCTTTGTTTCAGTAGTATCTCAGCTCTATTGCCATACTGCACACTAAGGAAGCCTTTATTGACTCATACCTAAATCAATCTCGTTTACCCTCGGCTATTGATCTTCCTTTACTGCTTAAATACCGCTACAGCTCCAGAAGTCTGAGGTGCTTCCAAATTCTGACCTTCACTGATCTGTTTGATAGCTGTTGTAAAGAGGAGGGATGCCACGGGGTCTGCATCAAGAAATCCACTCTTTGTGCGAGTGGAGTCTTTGAAGCCTGTCTTCCTTCCTGAGGAGGTTGGTTTGTTCCTCTGTACCTGTACTCCCAGAACCTTCCAGAGGCTTGCCTCAGCCGGTTACAGACACAGGCAAAGGCAGATGAAAGAGTAACACATTGTGTGTAAAATCCTTGCTCTGGTCTGATCGCTTTTGTTTGTAGGGGATTCTAAAGCTGCAGTAATGCCCTGTGCGTCTTTTTCCTCGACTTTGGTTTTTGTAATTCCCACAACAGTGAGCAGCACCATTTAACCCCCTTCAGAGAGTCACGGCGCAGTTGAAAGAATGCCTTTTTTGTCTGAGCATACAGAACATGCATACAGTTCCTATTGACTCAGGAGGGGAGCTAGGATTGGGTGGGGGGGCTTGGGAGCCATAGACGAGGCTTTGTAGTATTCTGCTGAGCTGCGTGTGTCTGTTGCTGAAGACTTTAAAAGGCAAATGTACCGCAGGCGTTCCCCTGGGTATAGTACCGAGCATTGTAGCTGTCGCTGTCTTCTTCTTCCCACCCGACAGCCCACCCTCCTTCCCCCGTCTCTTCTCCCCTCCCCTCGTTCACATGCATAAATAGATCAGGGAATACATAAATCAAAATAAAGATGACAGCAGGAGCGATTTAGAGGCGGAAGAATCGGCAATAAAACTCCATCAAAGTGTCGTTTGAGAACAGTGGCGCAGGCCCGGGGGCTGCTGAGCACCAATCAGAGGAGGCACGAAGCCAATCCCAGGTAGGCTGGCAGCGGGGACGCCTGTTGTCATGACAACCCACCATACAGCCTACGCATGTACACAGGGATGGCGCTAAGGGTTTTATGTAAGTGGGAAGGGGAACATTTTGGGCGAGTGGAGGCTGCTCGTACGAAAACAGGATTAAGGATTAAAATCACCAGCCCAAAGAAAAAAACCCCTTCACACATGTCAGTGTTATCAGGTTGGACATCTGTTGCTTACCAAGGTGTGAGAAGTCATAACCAGATATCCTTAGCTTGGAGCAGCCAACAAGTGCACATCTTTATTTTGCTTGGTTGCATTTTGGCTGCAACTGTTCTCAATTTCTTCGTATCGATAAAAAGAGTTGGATGGTTGATACGATAAATGTTGTGTTATTGCTGCAGAGTGGATTTTCTTTTAAAGCGGGTCACTGTTTACTTGTTTTATACACGTGTGGATTCTTGAGAAACATTGTCATGCACGAAGATGACATCCTTGTTTTCAGCAGCAAGAACCAATCATTACATGAGTTTAAATATTATGGCAAATAAATAATAAAAATAAAGGGCATTAAAAATGTTACTGATATGAAGACCTCAAAGCTGATACTGGGAGGCTGGTTGGATTTTTTTTTTAAAAAAAGGAAACCTCAGGCATGACAAATGTCAAACTAAAGGTAATAAATGGAAGAACGAAGAAGTAGCCAAAAGGAGAAGCTAAAACTTCAGAACAACACAGAGACGTGGAGAAAGACAGAGGCAGTAACCCAGACAGGAAAACAGCCAAGCAACTCAGATGAACTGACAAGTAAAGGAGGAAGAGACCATCTATAAATACACAGAGAAGACTAATTGGGAAAGAAGACTCAGGTGAATCTAATGAGGGCAGAGCAGACAAGGGGAAAATGCTAACACAGTAAGGCAAACCAGCACACAAGACACACAAGGTGACTTATTAACAAAAAAGCAGGAAGTAACAGGGTTACAGAGTTGTTAACAGAGTTCAGAGTGACAGAAAATACACATATAAAAGGAAGGGAGACAGAAAAGGAAACACAGGAGACAGAGCGGGGGGAAAAAGGTAAACTGTTTGGCTGTTAGCGTTTACATTAGGAACAGCTGCTGTGAGAGCACCGTGAGAGCTGAGATAAGACAGAAGAGGATGTTTCTATCTACTTACAAACACAGATATCCCATCATCAGTTACAATTGTGTGAAAAAAACGAAATAAAAATTTTCATTCCAGAAGGTAAACTTTAATTTTTTTTTTTTTAACGTTTTAGTTTTGATGATTATGTTCTTATAGCTCATGAAAATGAGAAATCCAGTTGAATAATGTTCAATTTCACTTATACACTCAGTACTTGGGGGTCCTTTACTGCAAATTATTGCATTAATGCGGCTTGGTGTGGAGGTGGTCAGCTTGTGGCACTGCCAAACTTTTATAGAAGCTTTGATAGTAGCCTTCATCTCATCTGTATTCTTGGATCAATTGTTTCTAGTTTTCCTCTTGACAATGGATTTTCAATGTGCTTCAGGTCAGCGGACATGGCTAGCCAATCACAAACCTCTGCAAAATAATGTTTGCTGACCATTAATAATATGTTCAGCAGATGTTTTGGCATGGATGCAGTTGCTAAGGTCTGCTGAAAAAGAAAAGCAGCATCTTCATAACGTTTGCCAACACATGGAAGGATAAAGTGCTTTGAAATCTCCTAGTAGATGGCTGTATTGACTTTGGATTTGATAAAACACAGTGAGCCAATCACCAGCAGATGACATGGCATCTTAAATTTTCACAGACTGTGGAAACATCACACTGGACATCAAAATCCAACCTTACTTTCTGTGCCTCTGCACTCTTTTTCTATTCCTTATGACCTTGATTTCCAATGAAATGATACATTGGATCTGTCCAGTTCCTTTTCTCCTTAGCCCAGATAAGAACTTGCAACATTGCATCTGGTTCAGGAGTGGCTTGATATTAGAAATGTACTAGTTGAAGTTCCTTTCCTGAACATTTCTGTGGGTGGTGGCTGATGATGCAATGACACCCGCCTCAGGTACTCCTTGTGAAACTCTTACAAGTTCTTGAATCAACTTTCCTTCACAGTCCACTCAAGGTTGCAGCCGTCCTTGTTTCTTTTTCTGCTTTGCTTTTCCTTTCTAGTCAGCTCTCCATTAACATGCTTAAATCCACTTTTCAGTAATGACCTTCTGTGGCTGTGGGATTCACGATTGTCATCTGGATAAGAGTCAAGTCAGCAGTTTTTTTTTCCGCAATTGTGGTTGTGTTTAATGAACTAGACTGAAGGGGCCTCTTCCAGTGCTGCTTTTATCTGAACAATGTGTTTGTTTTTGTTCACCCTGGCCTTTTGTAAATTGTACCTACTGGTAGGATGTTTTTTTGGTGCACGTTTTTTCTTCTGTCTGCCAATGGTGGATGGATCAGCATTGGTCTTATTCGCCTTTCCTTAACACCTCTGTCTTCTGCTGCCTGAGGCACTCTCACTGCTTAGCAGCAATCCTTGCAGTTCACTCTAGGAGGGCATCTTACTATTCATGACTGCTCCACACGTCCTGGATAGTGGTATAGACATGAATCTTTGTTCCCTCTTCTGGGTTTTTTTTTCTGGAAGATCCTTGGAGTCTTGGACTTTGGGTGAATTCCATAGAATTGAGAAAGCTTCTCAGCACCTGTTTCATCCACTGAGTTTGTGGCTTTCCTTGCCTTGTCATCAAGCCTTATTTGTTTAGTCTTTTTACAATTGTGCAGTCATGAAATTCAATCTGAGGACTCTGGAGACTGAGATGTAGCTCTTGGTTGATGAGTTAATAAATTTATTTTGATTAGCAGCACCTGGCTGCTACTTAACCTCCTACTTCCTATAGAAGCAGTAAGGAGTTCACAGCCCTGCATAGTACTGTGAAAACTTGCTTTTTCTATTGCCAAAAGCATTCACTTTTCTGCTTTCACGCATATGAACTTCAGTGACATCCCGTTTTTTAATCCATAGGATTTAATATGATGTCAGCCCACCCTTTGGAACTATAACAGCTTCTGCTCTTCTGGGAAGGCTTTCCACAAGGTTTAGAATTGCGTTTATGGGAATTTCTTTTCTTTTTTTTAACCATTCTTCCAGTAACGCATTTATGAGGTCAGACACTGATGTTGGGCGAGAAGGCCTGGCTCACAGTCTCTGCTCTAAATCATCCAAATCAGGTTTCGTACTCTGTGAAGATCAGTCAAGTTCTTCCAAGCCAAACTCGCTCAACCATGTCTTCATGGATCTTGCCTTGTGCGCTCGTCTGCAGCCACGTTGGAACAATAAAGGGGCATCCCCAAACTGTTCCCACGAAGTTGGAAGCATGAAATTGTCCAAAATGTCTTGGGATGCTGAAGCATTAAGAGTTCCTTTTATTAATTAAGGGGTTGAGCCCACCTCCTGAAATACAACCCCTTCCATAATCCCCTCAGCTGCTGTGGAAATCCGTTCCATGAAACTCCCTGCGAACTGTTCTTGAGCTAATCTGAAGGCCGCGTAAAGTTTAGAGGTCTGTAGCAATTGACTCTCCAGAAAGTTGGCGTGCACTGTGCTGTGCCCAGCATCTGCTGACCCCGCTCTGTAACTTTACATGGACCTTCCACTTCATGTCTGAGTTGCTGTCATTCCCAGTCGCATTCACTTTGTTATAATACCTCTAACGGCTGACTGTAGAATATTTAGTACCATGGAAATTTCTTGACTGGATTTGTGGTGGCATCCTATCACAAACCAGTCTTGAATACTTTTTCATTATATTGTGGTTTTTGTATTTAAAGTCAGGGCAAGGGTGGAGGCTCTAGCTGCAGTCTACACTGCAGTAGCTACAGTAAGTATAGAAAAAGCAGCACAATTCTGTGTGTATGAGTAAGCTTACATTATTGCCTGTGTGTAACACGGTGTTCAGTCTGCCAGTTAAGACTAACAGCGACAAAGACTGAGCCATCGCTCGCTATAATCGAGCTGTCATTCCTGCAGACAGCTGCGAAGAACAACCCTGCATAAATATACACACACCATCAAACAGGTTACAGACTTATCCTAAATCTGAACCTATCTAGCATGTGTGTCTGCATATTTTGATGAGTCTTACCCACGCTTCACATCGGATGATTCCGCCTGTGACTGACACGCTATAAAAGGCTGCTTCAATCAAAATCACAGAGGGGCTCTTTTTTTTCCACCTCTGTCGTTTTTATTTGACAATCAGGCTGACTTGTTGATGCATCCTCCTTTGTCCTGTCGCCTCGCGTGACATCAACGCTGACATGATTACAGCTAATGGCTGTCGCAGGGAAAGGGTCACAGAGAACGCGTCAACACTATATTTAGACTTTTTGCTTCGCTGCCTCTTCTTTGATTTAGTGAGCAGACATTTTGGCTCGGCTCGTCTCTGGAGTTCAGAGGGAGTTTGACCTCCTCCTGTCAATCGACACATGTCAGGTGTGGCGAACACGCTGCCACTGACCTAATAAAGGCGAGGATGATGATGATGATGGTGCTAATGATGATGATGCAGTTGGCAGCGATGATATAGATGAAAATGGTGGCGGGGGATGATGAGAACGGAGGTGGTGCTGCTGCTGCTGCTGATGATGATGGTGGCGGTTGAAGCAATGATGAAAGTGATGACAGTGCTGCCGGTGAAAGTGGAGGTAATGATGATGAAGGGGGGTAGAAGTCACCTGGTGTCAGCACTTTTAGAAGGAAGACTGTCGAGCTGAATAACAAGGTCTGACTCTGTCCTCCTCTCCCCTCCCTCTCTCTCCAGTTTGAAGCTCGAGTGTGACAAGTTGGCCAGTGAGAAGTCAGAGATGCAGCGCCATTATATCATGGTGAGTTAAGCTGTGTGTGCTGCGCATCAGAGCTGATGGTTGACACAAAATGCCATCTTTTCACTGTTTTTAACTAATGTAGATTTTTGTTGTTGTGCAACTTCTTTGTATTTTCACTCTACCTCCTCCATACCCTTCATCATCTTCCCTTTTGCACAGCAAGTCATTTTCATAGATTTTCTTAAAATTGCTTGCAAATGATTTCAGTTAGCAAAGAAGTGACGCCGTCGTTGTGCTTCTCTTGAAAAATGTTTTCTTTGTTTGGGAATCTGACAGTTACATTATTAATTTTCCAAACTCATCTAAACAGTCTAACAACTCCCTTAATTAGATTCTTCTTCGAAGAAAACGGACGGCATCAGTTGTTTCAGCAAATGCCCTGAAAAAGCATGCCTTAATGATCAAGCGACATGTCCCTTTAGTGTTTGCTGGAACAAAGGCTGTTGTCTGTCAGCGAACAAAGAAGGAAGTTGGGTGATGTTATTACAGAGCCGCGAAGCCTGCAGCAGGAGGAGATTGGACTAAGTGAGCAAACAAAACTTTTGCCGTGCTAATGGATCGTAAAATGTAATTTTTTCCAGCTGTGATTTGCACAATTTTGGCACAGACAGATAACGCCATCCTTCAAATTAGGATATCATATCTGGAAAAAACATTTTCTTTTAGTTCAGTTTGAAGGACATGTTGGTGAAACCCTAAAGTGCGCAGTGCAATCAAATCCAGTTGCTGACTGGTGTTGATTGTAGCCCCGTTAGACTTGAAATCTCAACACGTAACATGATTGAAATGATGGTATCATGTTCCCTAAAAACAAAACCTGAACTGAAATAAACCAGAATTTTTCATGCTTTGTTCCCTTTTGCTTCTGTAGTTAATGTATGTGTTACTCGCCTCCCCCAGCCCCCTTCATTTCCTCTTTTTTCCCCCCCATCTCTCTGTCTCTGTCCACACATTCACATCCACACACAAACATGCACACACAGATGTGGTTGCCTGCTCTCTGCTCCACCTCGGGGCTAATCTCATTGTTGCTGGCCGTAGCTGTGTAGCCGTCTGATGTTTTGCCTCTAATTGATCCTCTGACTGGCTTTAATCTCATCTCATCTGCCCTGCCGCACTGCTCTCTCCACCATCAGCAGGGCAGCAGACACATACAAACACACAATTCCTCTGTGTATCTTTCAGGCAGACATGTGTACACACAGTTTCACACACACACACACACACTCGGGCATTGTCGTCCTTGTGCACATAAGCACACACCCACTGAAACAAGAGCACAGTCGTGTAAAACAGATTTAATGAAAAACCGATGCCACGAATTTCAGAAATAAATGGAAACTCTTACTAAAGTGTGTTGCAGAACCCAGCAAATTCTGATTTGTGTGTTTTTTCTTTGTGTAATTGCAGTGATTTATCCAGATTATAGGTAATAGTTGATTTAAGCATTTACCGTATTTTCACAACCATAAGGCGCACTTAAAAGTCTTAGATTTTCTTCAAAAAGTGCGGCGCGCCCTATAGCGCAGTGCGCCCTGTGTGTTGTAAGGGGGACGTAGTAGAGAACACCATGAGAACGCTAAAGGGTGAAGTGTGTGCGTTGACTTTATTGCACATACCTGTATAAAAGAACAGGTATGTGCGTTATGCAGGACATCGTTGTTTTAACAACCCTGAAAATGGCAAAGAGACACGCTTACGAAGCACAGTTTAAACTGAAGGCCATCAGCTACGCGGAGGAACATGGAAATCGAGCAGCGGCGAGAGAATTTAAGATTAATGAATCGATGGTTCGCAAGTGGAGGAAGCTGGAAAACAAGCTCCGGCAGGTCAAGAAGACGCAGCTGAGTTTCCGCGGACGTAAGGCGATCATCGAGCAAAGAACGAGCGGGAGAAGCGTTTCGACGGTCACCATTCGGCTAAAAGCAGTTTCACTTTCACTTTTTATGAAACGGTGCCATTTTTCCATCCGGACCAGGACTACGGTAGCGCAGCAACTTCCAGCGGATTATAAGGAAAAGCTGGCCATCTTCCGCTCCTACTGCAGCAAACACATCGGCGACAAACACATCCAGCGATGGATGACCGATGGAGACCACAGTTTAACCAAGAGTGGAAACCAGCGCCGGGCGAGTTACGTCACAATTTGCCAATGGATTGTAGATGCTTGGGCTAACATGTCTGCTGGCACTGTTGTTCGAGCTTTCGCAAAAGCCGGCATCATTTCCGAGGAGCCGCACGGCACGGAAAGTGAATCTGACAGTGAAGAAAGTGAACCTGGCATGTTTGATGAAGATTTAGCGCAGCTGTTCAATTCAGACACAGAGGATGAGGACTTCGATGGGTTTGATTGATGATAAAAATGTGAGTACCAAACTTTGTTTTGCTCCTGCTTTATTTTTAAATACGCACACTTGTATGCTTGTGTGTTGTTGATGATGACGATTACTGGTAATAAAAATGTGAGTAAGGTACCGAACTCAGGTTTGCTCCCGCTTTATTTTTAAATACGCATACGGTACTTGTATGCGCCCTATAATCCAGTGCGCCTTATGTGTGTGTTAAATACAGTAATGGCACACATAACTGAGACTGCGCCTTTTAGCACAGTGCGTCTTATGGTCGTGACAATACAGTAAATGTTTTGAAGAAACGCAGCTGCACAAATTAATAAGGGACATGATGACTTTTATAGTCAGAAAAATGTTCTACAGACTGTTTAGTAGCCTGCAGGCTGATATTATCAGCACAAAGTTTTCATTAGGGTTTGGTATTTTTCTGATCAGCTTGTGAGGCACTACAAAGTGATATACAACTTTCAGCTGCTCTGTTTTTTGGCAACGTTAACCAAAGCATCTCTTTTTTCTTTTTAAGAGTGCTCCTTTGCCTCCAGTTCACTCAGTGACTCTGTGATGCATGTGCTAAATCAATTTAAGGGACACTTTAAAAGACAGAAACCAGACAAGGCTGCATACATGCAATGGGTAATTCAAAGGCTGATGGAGGCAAAGCTCAGTTTGAGTGTTCTGTGTAGTTTCTATCCCCTTAAATGTTGTGGTCCTGCTTTTAAATGACTAAGGGACAGATCATTATCTCTTAGGACCACTTCAAAGTCCTATATTGTACCAAGTTTTAACAAGATAATGTAAGTCTTTAATGTCCCAGCATTGTCTATTTCTAAACAGATGGTTGTTCCTGCTTTTACTGAAGTTACTGAACCTTTCTTGCTTAACAACAGTCAGCTTTGGTACAAGTTAGCAGCTTGGTGCTACATTACATTACATAGCCAGGCTTGAAAACCCCTAAAACTCTAGTTTAAGAAAATGGGTATCACAGCAGTGGTTATCAGCTTCCATTGTTAAGCTAGACTTTCTTTATCAGATTCTGTCTGCAATATAATAGTATCAGAGTGTATATTTGACTCTTCTGCACAAAATTGATTAACTGAGTGCTTCTTACATTTGTTAAGAAGACCAGATCATATGTTTCTTATATGTTGAATATAAGCACAAGGGAACACTGGTGCTACAAGAAAGGAAAGCTAGCAGAAAGTTTAGCTTTCTGTCTTTCATTTTTTCTAATGTGATAGCTGCACTTTGGACATCTTAAATCTTAAAACAGAAACACACTGATTCAGGATACTCGAGTGGGTTGGTCTTTACTGCAGTTTCAATGATATATCAGTGCAGGAGCTCAGAGATTCCCAGATTACACATCAAGAGATGTCAGACGTTCTGAAGCAAACTTTGCTTCCCATTTCCACATCTTCTACTTCTTCTGACTTGATGCATCTATCGTTCAGAACAATACTGCAGCCAGGAGGGAAAACTGGGCTGGAGCCAGTCCCAGCAGACACTGGTCAAAAGGCAAGGTTCACTCTGGATGGTTTGCAACCACATGAACTTCCCTATCTTACATGTGGCGAATCAAGAATCAACAGGAAACTTAACATTCCTGCCTTTGGATCGTGTGAAGACGCCAACAAGTTACTCAGGTGAAGCTGCTAAAATTGGCCAAAACAAAACTGATAAATTGGTTTGCTTAGATTTGGTAATAGGTGGTGCTTTTCCCCATTTTGATGTTACAAGAGGGGAATGATCTTTTCTCTATTTGGTAGGTAGGGCTGTGCGATATGACCAAAATCTCATATCCCGATATAAGAATTCTATCGTCCTGATAACGATATAAATCACAAAAATGTAACATTTTCTGTAAATTCTGTGAATCTCGGGCAGCTCGACTTGCGGGAAGTGTTTCCAGCTGCGCGTCATGTAGCTGGAGTCGAGTGTTTTAACTGATGCATGAAACGATACATTTTTAGACATAAGTTGTAACGGCCGCCGTTTTCTTTGTGAGTATTTATTACACAGCGTGCTGCGGGGGAAAGCCTGTTCTAACGTTTGAGTCTAAGGTTTATTTTTTAGCACCTGGCGGCTCTTTTTTAATTCTCATCCATAAATAATCTGCTCTTTCACGTGATTTAGTTTATTTTGAAAAGTCTCAACAGGATCTTGAGCTTTATTGTGAAAGGTTTATGTGGAACATAAACAAGCGGACACGCGATGCTGTTACCGTCGTTGTTGCTAACCACAACGCATAAAAATAGGCGGTTGTCCGTCCGTAGTGTGGTTATATTAAATATAAGAGAAAGAGAGAACTTTAAGAAATTAATATAAACACTACAGTGACCAAAACAATGAAAAAATATTGCAGTAAACAATGAATTTTGCGACACCACGAAACAAACAATAGCGTAAAATGTTTATGTTTATATCAAACAGCCCTATTGGTAGGTGTAATTATTTTGCAAAAGCCATGGAAGCATTGATTTTGCAAAATAAGCCCCATTTAAAACTTTGCAGTGATGTTATGTGATACTATGTAAAAACTGGGATAAGACTTTCCAGGGAAACATTGGAAAAATAGAACAAATAGTTGAGTAAGATCCCTGGCTTCTCTCTCTCACCTCTGCAAGGCATGAAGCGGGTGTGAATGTCGGCTTTAGAACATTAAAGATAGTGTGTGTGTGTGTGTGTGTGTGTGTGTGTGTGTGTGTGTGTGTGTGTGTGTGTGTGTGTGTGTGTGTGTGTGTGTGTGTGTGTGTGTGTGTGTGTGTGTGTGTCACCCACTATCAAATGTCAGGAAGGATGCGGGTGAAAGGGGTTTCTAACGCTATCTGACCATCAGACATGCAATTCAGACAGAGCGTAAATCCTGCTTAACCTCACATGTCTAACTTTAGTGAGGAGGAGAATATGAGGCAGCTTTTTCTTCAGCCTGCATCTTATAGCTATCGTGCTGGAAAACAGTGAGACAGGAAATGCGCAGCTGAATGAAACATGGACACTTTTAAGAGAAAATGCCAGACAAGTAGCACTTTGCAGTGTTTCCAGAGTCTGCTGAGGAGTTCTGATTCTTCGTTACAAGGTCTTTCATTTTTATTTGAAACTCAAGCTTCATATATAAAATGTGAGGGGCATAAAAGTGCAATATGCTTGAATCTGAGCAGTTTAAAACCATATATAACAGTGAACGCACCAGTTGTTTTATAAACATGTAATTGGGTCTGGGAAATAAAACAACATTTAAAAAAAAAAAAAAAAAAGGCAGCCAGCAAATAAATAAATAGTTTGCGTCCAACCCTGTTACAGATTTAAAAGAAGAAATAAAATGTTGTCTAGAGATCTGTGACAGTTTTAAAAAAGCCACAGTATTGAGGCTAGCAGGTAGGCCAACTTATCTGCAATCCCAGCTGATCATCTCACACATTCAATTCCACCTCAGCTCCTTCTTTGCTGCATCTAAATTAATCAATATTATATGTGTTCTCCCTATAGATTAAATCCGATCTGTGCCATTTTCCTGCACTTCACTCAGGCAGCAGCCTCATTTCCAGAAGTGAGAACATGGATCACTTTCGCCAGCTGTGCTTTAGACTGGCAGCCACGTTTAATTTCAGTTCAGTTTAATTTAATTTAGAGAGGGCAAAATCAGAAGTCGTCTCAAGGTGTTTCATATTGTAAGGTAAAGATCCTACAGCAATAGAGAGAAAACCCCAACAATCAGCTGACACTTGGCGACAGTGGGAAGGAAAAACACCCCTTTAATGGAAGAAACCTCCGGCGAGCTCAGGCAGGGACAGCCACCTTTAAATACAAAGTGGTGTGCAACACATATTTATAAGAGGTGTGTTTAGAAGAAATAAGCCATCATAGGAAATGTGATGAAAGTTGAAGGCTCCCATTCTACTTATAAGTACCCTCAAAACCACAAGTAAACCAGCAGGCTGAGACTGAAGTGCTATATTGGGGTGATATGGCACTATGAGGTCTTTAAGATAAGATGGGGACTGATTATCCAAAATGTGAGGAGAAGAATTTAAAATTTGACTTTGGATTTAACAATGAAGAAAATCCAATATGGGAGAAATATGCTCCTTCTTCCTAGTCCCTGCCAGTACTCTCGCTTCAGCATTTTAAATGAACTGGAGGTTTCTTAAGGATGTTTTAGGACAACCTGATAATAATGAATTACAATAGTCCAGCCAATAAACTCTAAACTAGTTTTTCACATCACTCTTACACAGGATTGTTCTGCACAAATGCAAGAAAGCAGTCAAGCTAACATGGATGTCTTTGAGAGGAAGCACATACAGGGTTTACACGCAAACTTCACACAGGATCGTCTTACTCTGAGGTGACAGTGCTAACCGCTGCACCATCGATACATGTGAGAAAGGAGAGCAGATGATGCCCTGACCTGATTCTGCCAAAAGTTTCAGAGTTTTTATGTGAAAACGGCTTTAGTGAGGAGTGGGACTACCACGTGCTGCCAGAACAGCTTTGGAGTGTCTTGGCATTTATTTCACAAGCCTCTGGATCTCTACTGAAGGGAAGTAATCATGCTTTTCCAAAAGAATCACATTTTCTTAATTATTTAAAGCATTCTTTACCTTTTTAACTCTTTCCCCCATGACTGCTTTATATCAAAATAACTGGTTGTGCATCAAAAGTTAGTTAGTGAGAGTGATCTCTGCCTGTATAGCTTACTGGAGCAACCCTTGGAAAAAAGGTTTTTATGGGGAAAGAGTTGATGAAGAATTGGCATCACTTGCCAAGACACCACTCCCATCAGTATGGAAAATTTTCATTATAGGATAAAGGTGATGCCTCAGAAGGGATTTGTATTGATTTGCAGTTGCTCTTTCCTCCAAGGGGACACCTGCCCCAAAATAATTACTGGATCTCCTCGTTTGTAGTGGTCAAGTGTTGAGATATTTCCTTCACTTTATCACCCCTCTGTAGATCCGCTGTATTGGATTAACTGAGATAAATTACATGTTTGTTACCATTTGCTTACCATTTGTCTTTTTTAATATGTGCACAGCCCTTATTGGATACATGCTGATGTAATTGTGCAGCCATCTTCACATTCAGCTGAAATAAAACCTGTAAAATTGAATTGTGAATGCAGTATTGCCAAAACAGCCTCCTTCGCCCACTCTGACTCGAACGCACACACAGTCAGCCACGCACACACATACGCGCACTTTCAATCGCACTTCCACTCCATCAGTGGCAGGCCGAGTCTTGTATCCCCACTACGACCTCCCCACTCCTCCTCTAATAGCATATCAGGTTGCCCCACTCCCCCAGCCAGCGGCAGCACCTCCATTTCCCCAGCGCTGTAATTACTTTAGGGAGCTTCCGCGTGGGCACAAGCAGCTACGGAGCTATGTTTTAGTGCGCGTGCATGTGCGTGCGTGCACGTGCATTCACTTACAAGAGAGAGCCAGTGTGAAATTGAACACAAACAACTGTGTGTGCGTGCATATGTGCGTGTGTGTTTGTGTGTGAGTGACAACAAGCGAGAGACAAAAATGTGTGTGTGAGTGAGAGATCTGTGTGTTGTTTGTTTTCCAGTGACAGAGCCAGTCCCCCTGCAGACAGAGTGGGTGATTAACAGGGTTGACGCCTAGAAGGTGGCCCTCTCATTAACACTGAACACACACACACACACACAGACACACAACAGAAGCCGTTTCTCTTCTGTCTCTCCTTTTCTCTCGCAGTCTCTCTTCCTCTTTGTGTCTTCTCTTTGCATGTGTGTGTGTGAACATGTCTGAAGTGTAGAAGTAAGTAAAGGGACTGTTACCGATCACATCGACTTGTCTGGATAATTAATAATTCTAAATAATAAATGAGGCAGCGTCTCTTGTTCCACGTGCGCACACATGTGGATCCTGCTGCTGTGTGATGATTGCAGAGATTAATGAAACTCATCCTGCACACAAACAGCTGTAAGCGACAAACAGAACTTCAGTACGCCCTTTAAATTAAGCAACTGTTTATATTCTCTGGCAGTTCATACATGCAAATTTCATTTGTATGAGGGAGCTGGCGTGTACATGAGAAGGAGGATAAAATGACAAACTGGCAGATTAATTATGCAAATCAGTTGATCGGTTTATTTTTATGTGCCGTCGTAGCTTCGGTTTCAGCAGCTCATCATTTTACATCAAATAACATCGAACAAAGAACATTGGAGGTTGTTATTAAGCTGTTTACTTAAAAACAAAGGCAAAAATGAAAAGGCGAATAAAGTCTTCCGCAGTGTTTCAAGATTACTGTACCCATGTGAATTCTTGTTCTTATTAATCTGCAGTGTAATGATGCCTTTCGGGAATCATCTCTTGGATTTAAGAAGGCCCGTATAATGTTTTTTATGATCATATTAGCATTCGTTGCTTTTGGTGGAAAAAAGCAACGAAGCAAACTGAAGATGCTTCGAGTGTTCCAGCTGAGAAACAGAATTTTTGTGCGATTTCCGATTGTGGTGCAATCAAAATGCACATTAGCTTCAAACGTGATTTGTCACATGCAGTCAGTTGAGCATGATAAATTGTTAGCATGGAGCTCCTGCACAGACAATTTTTCTGGCAACAGTTCGGTGCCTGTGTTTTTATAGCTTTTTCTTCTTCTTCTTCTCCTCTTCTTTGTGTAGTACTATGAGATGTCCTACGGGCTCAACATTGAGATGCACAAACAGGTAAGTCTGTATTTAGTCTCCTTAAAGTTCGCTCTTTTATTCCCATCACATAGGATGTAAAACTGTTGTATGATCATAAACAGAAGATTGCTTTTGTGAAGAAAATTGAAACACAGGAGGATGCCTTTTCTGCTTGCAGGATGTGATGGATTCAAACTGAGGGGCATGCATGTTTATCAAGTTTCTATTGTACCTCCTGTGTGTATTATGTTGCTTAAGGCTTCCTTTCTAACATGCTTCTATAAACTGAGGTGTCTCCATCGTCATGCAACTACTGCCGAGGGTTATCAGTCTAATGTTTTGTTATTGCTTTTACCAATGTTTAGAATTTTTCTTCCTGTCAGTTAGCTTTGACATGTGGATTTAAATACTACAGGAAAAAATCCAAAGAAGCCAAATCTGAGTGAAAAATGCTTTTGTGCTGTCAGCAGGAAGTAGCTACTTTCCTCTGCATAAATGAATTATTTTATAAACCTGGCTAGCAGCTGTCTGACAGGCAGTGCTCTCTCTATACGTGTTATGGATAAACCTGCGAGAGCCACAAATAAAAGTTGTAGTAATTTCAGAGCAATTTGTTTTAATATTTACAGATGAATCATACATTTACCAATAATCTAGCGTCATTTTGTACTCTGTGATTGAAAAATGTCTCAAGGACTCGCTGTCCTGTATCGTTGCTTGTTGTTCATACTGACGATTCAGCTGGGAGAATTTCCTGGACTTTGAGGTGCCAGTTGGCTAACCTCATCAATGCAGATAAAAAGACTTTTAATACTTACTGAACCTTGAATTATGCACTTCATTACAGGGTTCTTTTTTTCTTTAACCTGGCTCAGATGCATTGGTTGCCAGGGTTGGGAATGTCTCCATAAGTTACCTGTTGCATGTGCCTCACTGATGTTTGACTGGCAGATCCACATTGCTGTATTGTGGTAGCCTTATTATGCTACAGACATGGATACTCAGAGAGCAGCTTAGTGTTTTGTTTTTTTTTGATGGGACGGGTGAGTAAACAGTGACAGGTACAAAGATTTACCATAGACAGTATAAAAGATGGACTTTGTGCCAACATCTGAAAGTGAAGTTAATGTGGAAGTACTTTAAACTTGCATTTTTTTTTAATGGCCAGCAGGGGGCGACTCCTTTCCTAACAAAAGTATGTCTGGTAGTATAGATGTCTATGGGGCAATGGCCCTTGGCTACCTAGCTGTCTGACATCAGATCACCTTCCTGATGAGTTCATGGGCTCAGTCACTAGTTTCAGGTCACTGATTAAAACACGAAGTTCAGTTTGGCAATTATGGTCATTACTAGAATAAGTCCAGTAATTTTTGTAAAAAGGATTTTTTAGGATTTCCGTTCATGGTCTCAGGAGTCTCATCTCTGCTTTTGGCGGATGGTGTGGTTCCTTTGGACTCATCAACCTTGTTCCGGAAGCCGAGTGTGAAGCAGCTGGGGTGAGAATTTAGCACCTGAAACTCCGAAGCCACGGTTCTTAGTCAGAAAAGGGCAGCGTGTCCACTGCAGGGTGCAGGAGCGAGCTGCTACCTCAAGTGGATATCTTAGGGTCTTGTTTACAAGTGAGGGAAGAGGAAAGCAGGAGGCTGACAGATAGATGAATGCGGTGTCAACAGTGATGCAGACGCAGTACTGGGCTGTTGTGGTGAAGATAAAGTATGAAAGTACATCTATGATGTACCTTCTTACCCTCACCTTTGGCCCAGCAGTTTTTGATTTAGTTGTAGCCATAGTCTTTTGATTAAAAAAACGTTTAGTTTTATTCCTAATTAGGACTAAATCCTTTTAGTTTTAGTCAACTAAATATCATAGGATTGTAGCAGACGAAGTCTAAAATTGATTCAGTTGAATAAAATACAAAGTGTCAAAGGAGCTGTGCATTCCTCGTGATGCACCAACAGCTTATTGAACTGTTGGTGTGATTATTAAACATAATCTCTGTTTCCTTTGGGGATCTCATTTGAGTGAGGTCACCTAATTCTGTGTGTAAATCCAGTTGTTGTTGATTTTTTTTGTTGTTTTTAGTAATTTTGAGCATCACGCAGTCATTTCATGTGGATGTAGGTCTTGGCAAAATGGCATTATATTTACATCCAGTGAAAACGGTGCTGTAAGAACTAGTAAGGTATTTTGAAATGGAGGAGAAAAAAAGGCCCTCAATCAGGCAGGGCGTGGGTGAGGGAGTGGTCCATACATCAGTTTGTGTTGCTGCAGCAGGGGGAGTAATTTATGCTCAGCCTGCAGGAGGAGAGAGCGATGGGCCTCCAAGGGGCCAACCCTTATCGATGACCTCGTCTGGTATTGCCCATCCACACTCACAAACGCACACGCACGCTGTCGTATGATTGACGGCGTGCGCTGACAGCCATATTGGAAGAAGGGAGCATGCTTTGACGAATGGAGACACACATGAAAGTAGCAGCTTCCATGATTTAAAGACCTTCACTTGTATGCACCCGCACAAACTCTGAGGTTGGAAGCACAAGACGGGCACTGCGATGCATGCTGAGCAAACGCACACACCTTTCTCCTTTATCTCATAGGGATTAAATTCATAGGCACAAATGGAGTTGTGTGTTTGTGTGTGTACCCAGCAATCTTCGTACGTGCGTGTGTGTACATTAGCTCATGTACTTTCCCATTGGCTGTCTGCAATCTTTTAGAAATGTCAGTGTGTGGGTAGAGCCAGCGTGAGCTTCGGTGTGTTAGCGTGCACGCTCCTGAGCCCCTCCAGTCACTCCATCACCGCATGTGCCTGCGTTTTTTGTGTGTGCGCGTATGTTACCAGCGCATGTTCATAAACGTTTGTGTCTCTCTGCTCGTGTGTGCTGCTGTTACTGTGTGTGCGCACACGCCCGTCCTTTGTGCACAGTGTGAGTGGGTGCCGAGAATCGCTAGTTCCATTAGAGAGTTGAAATTGAAGGGGATGTGTGGAAACGAGTGTCGAGGAGCATTCATGTCTAGGCCTATTGTGCAGAGCCACACTCCCCTCTCTGCTCCTCCTCCTCCTCCTCTGTCTGTTTCCCTGTTTTTTCTTTCTTTCTTTCTTTCTCTCTCTCACACTCACACATTCAGTTGCTCCCTCTTGATCACTCTGTCCTACTCAATTCAAAAAATGCCTCTCCACTCTGTGCAGTCTGTCTCTTTGCTCTCTGCATCTCTGTTTTGTCTTAGTGAGGAAAAGCAAGGTTGAGTTGCGGATCGAACTGGGAGTGTGTTGAATGAAGCTGTATCGTTTATCTGTTTTTCCTCGTTTTCTCTTCCTGACAGCATTTGTGTTTTGTTTGTGTTGTGTATAGTATATATGTTCTCATTGTGCTCATCACATAAACCAAACTATGAAGGCAATTCTGAGTATATTCATCTGTATGTGAGCTGCATCTGCAGGAATAGTTGTTCGTGTTCGGCATGGTGGAAACTCTTTGTTAAGCAGAAGTGGCGACACTGAAAAGGCTGTGATTCAGTTATCCAGTCCTAGTTTTAGGAAATTTCAAAACAAAAATGCCAATTATTTTGACCTCGTTTCGTGAGCATTACTTTTTTTTTTTTAATTCTTTTTATCTGATAACAAACTGAAGATATATATGGAAACTGGAGCAAAAGTCCTTTTGATTAGTCATGTAACTGGTCACATTTGTGTACATGAAAATAATATTTTCAACCTTTTAAAGGGAGAAAAAGTATAAATTTAGAGGACAGAGGGGCAATTTGACTTCATTTTCCACTCATACCAGAGGCCAATTAGGTTTGGACAATTCAGACTAGTCGGTTAGGTTTAGACCAGGGGTCCCCAATCCCAGTCCTCGAGGGCCGGTGTCCCTGCAGGTTTTAGATGTGTCCTTGATCCATCACAGCTGATTTAAATGGATAAATGACCTTCTCAACATGTCTTGAAGTTCTCCAGAGGCCTGGTAATGAACTAATCGTGTGATTCAGGTGTGTTGACCCAGGGTGAGATCTAAAACCTGCAGGGACACCGGCCCTCGTGGACTGGGATTAGGGACCCCTGGTTTAGATAATCTAGACCAAGAGTGTCAAACTCCAGGCCTCGAGGGCCGGTGTCCCTGCAGGTTTTAGATGTGTCCTTGATCCATCACAGCTGATTTAAATGGCTAAATGGCCTTCTCAACATGTCTTGAAGTTCTCCAGAGACCTGGTAACTAATCATTTGATTCGGGTGTGTTGACCCAGGGTGAGATCTAAAACCTGCAGGACACCGGCCCTCGAGGCCTGGAGTTTGATACCCCTGATCTAGACTATTTGATTAGGTTTAAACAATCTGGACTACTTGGTTAGATTTAGCTAATCAAACCTGCTACCACAAGTTCAGATCATAAATCTTCTTGATAAAAAAACTACTCAGGGCAGATTTAGGTGTTAAAACTATTTAGCTAGGTTCTGAAAAAGGTCGTGGTTTGGGTTGAAGTACAACAGATGGCACTTTGATAAGAGCCACCTGCAGCATGTTATCATGTGTGTGCTGCAGGCATAAAAACTATTCCTTTTCCTCTTTGTATTGAAATATATTTCAAAGTCACGCTTACAAAAAACAGGACAGCTTGCTTTCATAAACGAGAAAAAAATCTCAGTATTTCACATTTTGCCATGAGACCCTGTGACTATAGGGGAGCCCACGCAGTGACAAAGCCAGTACACTCTAAGGAAGTCTGTGTAACGTTAGGTTTGTTTACTCTGCCTTCCATACTTCCTTGAAACAGAATTTCGTCAGTGAAAAGTGCTCCAATAGCATTTTAGGAAAGCCAGAATGAAGCAGAGTGAAATGTAAAGTGAGGACACGAGAGAGGAGGCTGCATTCAGAACGAAAAATCTGAGGGAGAAGAGAAGGTGATGGAGAGCAGGGATAACAGAATAGACAAAAGCTGGGTTGGAAAAAAACAAGATAGACAGAATAAAGGGCACTGAAAAAGAGGCAGAGCCATAGTTAGCGTGGAGCGAGTCCCGCAGAGACATTTTAGAGATGTCAGGGAGATTGTATGTGTAATGATGAGCAGATAGGAGTGAAGCGCTTGATGGGAACTGTGCTCTGCATGCCTAATGTCTGTTAGAAGAGCCTCTCTCTCCTCATCGCGCCTCGAATTAGGCTCTAACACAATTACTGCTGCTTTGCATATCTCTTATGGATTGGATGATTACCAACCAAATGTGATAATAGACCTGCATGTGAGAAAGATAGGGAATGTGCATGATGTGAAAGAGAACACGGCGTGTGCGTGCGTGTATGGGAGATTATTACTGTGTGTGTGTGTGTGTGTGTGTGTGTGTGTGTGTGTGTCCGTCCAAGTGTTTTTAGAAGCGTATTAAGTACAAGCAACTAAATTAATGAGGTGAATAAAGGGATTCTGACACATCTGATATATGTGCATGTGTGTGAGATATATTTGCTCCAGTTTGGGAAGGTCATAGCAGATGTTTCCCATACTGATGAGTGTGGCTTAAATTCGCTGAATGACGATTCACATTTAACAAGGGTTTAAAGGATAAGTGTGGTGATACTCTTTATTTTGAGCTGTCATTAAATCCCATGAAAAGATTAAAATGAGCCGTGAGCTGCTATCACATTTTATCTGTGTAGCCTGAGGCTATTATGCTGAATTCTTCTGTTCCATAGAGTTGTTGTCCTCGACACTTTGCCCTGGCATGGTTTTTGTTCACCTCTTCTGGCTTTGGTTGTTCTATGTTATCATCGCTGACTTTATTCATTCATTCGTTCATGAAATCTTCTCCATGGATCTCACAGGCATTAGTACCCAGTGAGGTGCAGTAACATTTTTTACATTCAGCAAATCCACATCTATGTGCTAAAGACACCACCACCCTACGTTTAGTTGCTCAACAGCCTCAGACAGAAGCAAAGCTGGTATGAGCTTCCTTCTGTTAGTGTATCCCCTCATGACCGAGCATTACTTAGGTGACTTAATCTAATAGAAAAGTAAGAATATCCTTCCCCTCTGTCCCCTGCACCATTAATTCTTGACTATAGACAGTATAAATATGGACGTAGGCGCTCCCATGTTGTCTGTCTTAAACCTCCATTCTCTTTAATGGCCACCAGGGGGAGACACCTGTGGTGGCTAAAAATAAAAATAAAAAATCTGCAAGCACTATCCCGCTGAGTTTATGGGCTCAGTCACTCATTTCATACTGTATAAAACAGTGGTGGTGTGGTGTAGTTTTGCAGTTTGAGGTGTACTCCTAATGCTCCAAACCTGGATAAATGCGAGGGTTGCATCTGGAACAGCATCGAGCATAAAACCCGGTCATTAATCCCAATCTGTGCGCTGCGGTGAACTCAATAAACCATAAAGTCCGTTTTGTAAATTTTGATCATTGTAAGATTCAGAAAGGCGAATAACCCAGGATCTGAGCCTACATTTCACAGTCAGATCCGCCCCTTACTTCATTATGAACACACCCAGTGTGTTTTATTTTGAGATACTCATACATGCAACGTTCTATTCTAACCACTGAATATACAATTATCCCTGTTTATTACAACAACTATCAGTTTTTAGGAAACAGTGGAAAGTTTTTTTTATATTTATGACCATTTTTAAGGTTAAAATTATTAAGCTTTGATGCTGACAGGGTGGGGAAGATGGAAAATAACCATTTGAGTTACATATTTTTTCACCGGGTTTGTTGGGAGTGATAAAAATATGGAATACTATAAACCACTATGCTCTCCTTCAACAGGCTGAGATAGTCAAGAGATTGAATGGGATCTGCGCACAGGTCCTCCCCTACCTGTCTCAGGAGGTAAGCGCGTGCACACGCACACACGCACGCACACTCTGGCACAGAGCCGTCAATAACCCTCTGACCCTCAGCACTATTCCTTACATGCTGGAATGAGATCACCCTCATTCCCACCTCATTACCTCTCCACCTCCGTGACCTCAAGCTCAGCATCCCTCTTCTCTCCTCCCATCATTCATCATCACTTGCTTCCTGTGTTTCTTTCCACCTCAATTTCCATTTCACCCTGCCCCCACCTCGATTCTGCCATATTCAATCTGTCCCATCCTCACGGTTGTCCCTTCCCCCCTCCCCTTTTGACCTCTTCCTTCACTCCCCTCTTTCCCTCCATTTTTCCCTCCTTTGCCTCCTCCTACTCCATCCAACTCTTCTCTTGCTTAATACATGTGTGTGTTTGTGTCAGTGTAATAAATGGCTGTGCGATTCAGATAAGCCATGCTCTTATCTGCCCACCAGGGGGTTGACCTCCACCCATTACAGCACACCAGCCGACCATCCATTCCCGGGTGTCACACAAGGCGTGTGTGTGTGTGTGTGTGTGTGTGTGTGTGTGTGTGTGTGTGTGTGTGTGTGTGTGTGTGTAACTGGATGAATAGCAAAATGGTCAGAGGGGGAGGTGCAACACCAGAGAGGGTTGTCGGGTCTCTGTTGGGACTATTGATATTGATCTAACCTCTCCACCCCCCCCAACTCTCCTCCCCATGTTTCTATCTCGCTTTTGTCTTTCTCACTTTCCTCCTCTTGTCTTTACCCCCTGCCTCCCCCCTGTCTCCCACCCACCATCTCCAGCACCAGCAGCAGGTCCTGGCAGCCATAGAGAGGGCCAAGCAGGTCACCCCCCCGGAGATGAACTCCATCATAAGGGTACGTTGTTGCAACCCTAACCCTGCCTGAAAAAGTGCAAATATTGACCAACCCGATCAATTCTATTGTTTTCTTTTACATCTTGCATTTATTGACTTATTGTTTGTGAGGATAAAAACCTTTGTGTGTCATCGCAGGGTTTTTCTCAAAAACCTAAAATGTTTTTTTAATGCTTTTTTTATATCGTGTGGAATGAAAAACCCTAAACCTCAAAGGTTTCCTGCCCCGATCTGTTTCCTCCTAAACAGAGCATTATAAAAATAAATAAGCATTTATTAGCTCCAGTTGCTAATGAAAAACGTTAAAATGACCCATAAATCATGATTATATTCAAGCGCTGGTAATGTATGCCTGCACAGTAAAATAAACATTTATAATTGTTCCCACTGTTTTGTTTAAGCAGCTCTGGGAACAATTAATTTTTAAAGAGTTTCTTTAGAGTTATATTGATGAAGTCCAAGAGAAACTTTTAAAGCACAGACTTTCTTTTTTTTTTCTGATGCACCAAAAGTTGGAATATAAGAAATTAACTTTTCTAGAAGTGGCTAAGCTCCAAAGAAATGCTGGATTCTTCTGTTAAAGCCTCCATGCCTTGAAATGTTTTTGTTTAGGTTTCATGTTAAATGTGCAGATTTAAGTAGAGATAACCTCGGGGCATTATTAGGGTTAAAATCTCTTCTACACTTACGTCTTAGGAGTGTGTAGTACTCTTCATCACGAGTAAACTACTTTTTGTGTCTTTTTAAAGTGGTGGTATCCATCCCATCGAGGGGATAAATTTGATTAAGCCACAATCCTGTCCATTGAAACAATTACAGCACAGTTATCTCGCTAGCTAAAATACCAAATCTGTACAAACCAGGCCAGCTCGTTAGCCTGCTATGCGCAGATATTCTTTATATCGGCAGCTTTAACTACTTCAGCTACGCTTCATCATTATCAGCCTCGTGTTAGCTATCCTAGCTCCTCCATCATTTCACTATTGTCTAGTGTTCGCTAGCCCAGCCACTCCATCACTGTGATAGATGATTCACGGTGGTGCGTTGCTTTTGTCTTTGTGTCTGCGACTTGTGATAAAGAAGGTGGCGCTCTGCGTTGGCGTTTGTGGTAGGGCGTTCTGTTGTCGGTGGATCTTTTGCTTTCAAAGGAGCTTGTAAAGAAAAGGGTCTGGACTTCTTTAAGTTGCTTGAAGACGCTTGAAGTCCAGACGCTTTTCTTTACAAGCTCCTTCGACTACGATGACCTGGATGACTGAGAACCTTCACAGACATCTTTTGCTTTGACTTTAGTCGCATCATGTAGAAAGTTAGAGGATCAGCGGGGGCAGTTATGTGTCGATTATAAGAGGTCAGAGGGAGCTGCCGTAAAAATGAACTCACTTTTGGGTGTGTGTAAAAGAGAAGCGTGGCAGTAACAATGTATCTCTCTGTACTTTAAAATCAAAGGCATGTCGATCCCATGATATTGTTTTTTCCAGTTCTGTGCTCAGATACCTCTTTGTCTGCACTTGTTTCTTAGGCTTTTATACATCTTAAAAACTGCATCTATTATAAATAAGCTATGTGTATCTTCTACTGAGCATGTGCTATGATACGTGCGTTCCATCTATCCTGTTGTCTGTAAACTATTAGCGCTGTGCCTCAAGGGTTATATATTAAACATGACCTGTGGTTCTATAATAGGTCTGTCCTGTGTTTTGCAGTGATTTGTGCGCTTGATCTATCCTACTGTCTCTAAGTTGCGTCTGATTCTTTTCCATGCAGCAGCAGCTCCAGGCTCACCAGCTGTCTCAGCTTCAGGGCCTGGCCCTGCCCATGACTCCGCTGCCGCTGAGCCTGAGCCAGCCGACCCTCCCTGCCGTCACCACCTCCTCTGGTCTCTTCTCCCTCTCTTCCCTGCTGGCCTCTCAAGCCCAGCTGGCCAAGGAGGAGAAAGCATCGCGGGATGGAGTCGACAGCCACCGTGAGGAGGATGGAGACAAGTCTGATTAGATGGTGTTTCAGCCCTATTCAGCTCTGTTTTTATCCAGAGACCTGAATCCCTAGATTCAAGCCCACTTGGCCTATAGCCTCTCCCCCAGGTCTCCCTCTCTTTGACACTACCTAACATGGGCTTCAATTTCATCTCTTCCGACCCCCTAGCCAACCCCATTATTGGGAGGTCTTTGGCACATACCACCTTATATCCTGGTATTCACCATAGTTGGGTTGTTTCTATATCTTTTTTTTTTTTTTTTTTTTTTTTTTTTTTAAGCCATGAGACTGTCGCTTTCTTATGTATCTTGTATTTTCAAGTGTGCTCTCTCTCTCTCTCTCTCTTTTTTGCATGTGATTAAGCCACATTTATCCCTTTTTAAAAAAAAAAGAAAATCAGGACTACTTTCTATTTCAGTTTCTTCCTGCCTCCCTCTTGCTTTTCTCTCTCTTCTGATTCCTGTTGAGTTTCCGTGTTTTCCTTTCTTCTCCATGCCTCTCTCTCTCTTCCTCCCTGTCTTCCTCCCACCTCTTGCCTCTGCCTCTTTCATAGGTCCTTGTTAGACAGGACTGATCCGTCAGACTGAATGCACTGTTCCGTAGGTGTTAACAGAAAAAATGTTAAACACTTGGATTTGCTGGCAAGCTGTAAAACTTGTCAGATGCAACACAGGATTCCTAAAAACTTCATTTTCCCAACATAAAGGTCTCACCGAAATCAGCAGTGTTGATATTTCATGGTGTTTCACCTCGCGTGTATTCATTCTAAGATAAAAGTGGGCTCAAAGTTTAAATGTTGGATTGATAAAAGATCAGAGAATTGTTTAAAAAATGCCCCGGCTAAAGACAGAAGCGTGCTTAAAAGCTATACTCACTTTCTAATCAAAAACCTCTGCCTTCAAAAGAGAATCGGTGTTATGAAAAGACATATCCGGGCAAATTAGAGATTTTGCGAGTAATCCTAATTTTATATAAAATAAAAGCATCTTAGATCCGACTTAATGCTGAGAGCCGTCAGAGTAGATAACAGACCCACCTTGATAAGTAATCCCCCCGACGTTTGATCCTTGCCCGACCCTGTGAGGTGCGTTGGATAAATCCACCCAGCACCGTAACTGAAAGGCATCATTAAACGGAGCTGAGGTAGCACAACGTGCAGCAAAGAGAAGTAACGCCACTTCACGTCCACACCTTCCCACCATCTTTTTCCTCTTTAATGTGCACTAATATCAGAGCAGACACTGAGGGGAGAAAGAGTGCATGTTGTGTGTTTGACAGCAGAGGGCAGCGTGTGTCTTTGAAGCATCCTCCTCGCTTGTGCAGAACAAGGACAATGACAGAGTGCAGACTGTGTCACAAAGGGAATGGCTTATTTATCCAGTCTGAGTGTGCAAACTTAATGCACAGTAGACACTAGACCGGTGGCATCAATTACTGCAGTGATGCAGGTCTCGAAAAGTTGTCTGCTTTGGTTTATTTTGGTCTCTAAATGGAACGACTCCATCCTAGCATGAAACAAAAACACGGGCTCTCTGTAAATTCACTTTTAAATACCCTACGATTCACTGCACATAAAGATCTTTCACATATCAGATTAATCCTGCATTATACAGTTGATTTAATGCCTACATGGGGCACTGAGTATGATTGAATATAGTTACATTACTGTAATTCACACAAATGAAGCACAAGTGCATTCTACAGCTGCTGCTATGAATCCAAACTAAACAAAAACACCCCCTTCAAACAGAAAGGTCCTGTACGCTCTTGGTTGTTTTCAGATTAGACCTCGAGTCTGCTGGAAGCTGGGCGAAACTATGCCAGCCCACCACAACATTGATGATCTCATTGCAATACAAAGTTCAGCTGCGGAATCTTCTGGTTTGACTTTCCTTTAGATGTTATTACGAGCAACGGCACCTCTGCCACATTGCTGAAGGTCTTTATCCGGTCAGAGGATCTACTACCACCGTCCTAGTGCCAGACGCCAAAGGACAATTCCCAGATGTCTCGTTTCCATGCACCAACCTGTTGGAGCTTTTTTGGAGGTGCAAGGTAACATACTCAGTGTTAGGCAGATGGCTTTAAAGTTGTGGTTGATTATTTTATTAAAATACCCACTGCATCTTTTACCAAATTCTTAGGAAAAAAAAGTTCTGCTCCATGTGGGGGTCTGCAAAAAATGTAGTAGTTGACGTTGCATAGTTTGTCCAACAGAGGGCACTCTGCAACACACGTGATTTGAATGCCACGCAGCAAACGCAGCAACCAGCCGGTCACTAATCTGGGAACCAGGTTTACTAAAGTCAGACTCTAACTGTAAACTGAGCAGATCAGCAACTCTGAGTTGGTATTTTCATGGAGGCTGGTCAGAGTAGGCAGCCATTTTTAATGATGCTGTCTGAAACAGAGGTCGCTTGTGACATATTGAGTCTCATAAAGGTTAAATAAATAAAACTAAAATTATGTTGGGCCGCTCTATATAATCGTAGAAAAAAGTTTGTACCATAGGCCTGCCATCGGATCAGAATTGAATCCAATCATTTCCTATCTGATTTCTCAGGATTAACAAACTCTGAATTTTAGCTAAACCTGCTTCCTGGAATAGGGTTGTGATCTGAGAGGAGCATAATATAATATCACCAAATACTGTTTGTTTTTTGTTTTTTAAAATTAAAGAGTGTCTTTTGCATTACATACAGTTCCTTACTGTGATCTAAAATTGGTCTTTACAGGAAATGAAGACACATCTGCAGCTCTTTAATAAACTCTTCTGTTTATTTATTTTTTAAACCAGCATGGCAAGAATTCATGTTATTAGTAAGGAGAATAATCAGTGATCGCTTTTAGAAGCATCTGAAAGTCTTATGTTGCATTTAATTAAGAACATTTGTATAATGATAGCATTACAGTCCAAATTCTCAGTCAGTTAGGAGACTATTATTTGTAAAGTAGTATAGAGCCAGTTTGACAGTATCTTTTGTTCGGTGGTTTTCACTTCAGACATTTTGACATGTCCCAGTAAGGTAAGGTGTAAATAGTAGAATTAATGACTTCCATTGAGCTGTTAAGTACTGTTCATGCTATCATACTGTCATTGCTTAGTGGGAAATTTAAATTGACCAGAGCTGTAATTTATATCAGTAACACAGATATTCTACCTGTTAGTACAAGTCAAAATCTCTGTTGTGAAAAGTATCAGTGCAAATTAATAAATAGTGGAAGTAGACCAATTTTTATACCCAGTGCGCATTTATAACACCAAAAAAAATGCAAAATAGGACTGAAAATTTGTCTATAGTTAAAAAACAAAAAAGAATAGAGACTACATCGCGTTCTTCATCATGTTTGGGTTGAATTTGTTTGCTTTTTGGATATATTGGAGTTTCTTTTTACTGTCCCGGGGATTTGTCAGGCAACAGAAGTGCGAATGGGCGAAATGTCTGCTTTCAAAAAGATGACATGCAATTTGAGAGGTACCACGTATACTTTGAAAATGTCGAACCACACTTAAAAGCACGTACACCTGTCTTGACCTCCTCTCTTTTCATCTCTGAATGGCTTCATTGAGTGTAGCCATCTCGAGCTGTATATGTATTTTTAAAAAAAAACCTGCTCCTTTCATTTGGGGGAAAATAAGCTCAGAATGGTCTCCGGTTTGATGATAAAGCACATTTTTATTGCAGAAGTACCCTTCAAAGAGATCGGCGAACGTGCACGTTTGATATCCAAAAGTGAAAATACATATGAGGGACTTTCAGAATAAAAGCCTCCGTCTTCTAAAGGTTCAGGTGATAAACTGTTGATGGCATTTGCTGGAGGACTCTTTCAATGATCCCCATTGTTGTGTATGTATGTGAATACATAAAACAAGGTGTGTATAAACACTTGTACAGATCCCGTAGTCGATGCTAAACCAGATGAAATGCGTTGCTGTTCTTACAACTAAAGCTAACATGCTACCTTGCTTGTGAATTAAGCTCGCGGCACGTCGTCCTCCCATCTAGCTGCATACTGTATGTATCTAGTTGCATACATACTGTACTTGTTGTAGTGAAATGCAGAGCGTGTAGACAAAGCAGAACACACACACACATCAATGCATGTCTGCGGGGGAACTGAGATTGATTTCTTTCTAGTGGAGACATTTTTTTTTTCTTTTTAAAGAATGTTTGATCCAAACTTTCTGTGATCGATGCACTCGTTCCTTTCCTCCCCCCTTTTCTTCGTTTTTAAATATTAATCGATATGAACTAGAGGGAGATTTGCAAGGCTGACGTTTTAGACGTACAAATGAAATTCTATGTATTTGTTGAAGTAGTTGGAGGTGCTCGCCTCTGTATACAGTTATACATAGAAAGCTTTATGTGTATATGGCTGCATCTTCTCTTGTCTGTCCTGGATGATTCTTGTGCTATTGTGTTACAAAACTGATGTGACACCAGGGGGGAGGGAAACTGCAGTATGTTGACCTTTTCACCCTTTGATCCCCCTTTCCTTTTCTCCCCCCTCCCACCACCCTAACACTCCCCCCCTCCCACCCACTCCCCTTGACTCCTGTGCCGCCTCTTTGCCCTCATAGCGTGAAGCATTGTAAGCGTTTTGAGCTTTGTAAAGGTCTTTTTTTAAATACTTATTTTGTGTATAATGTAAAACCTAAAAGTGTGTAATTTGGCAAAAAAAAAATGTTTTGTGTCTGAAATCATAGCTTCATTTAAACAAACGAAAAAGAAACTCTAAAAAAAAAACGTACAGCAAACATTTACTATAAATAAAATGAAATGTTCTGCAGTAAGGAAGGACTTCTGGTGCCTTACAAATAAAGTCAATCAAATCATAAACAAGTCTCGCTCGTCTTTGACTTGATGCACACCGTCTCCTGACTGGGAAGAGTGGCTCTTGTGGGCTTCCAACATTTTATTGTCCTTTTTCTGCTTATTGCTGGCAGGATGGAAGAATCGTTGCTTCCCGGTTATCTCAGCGTTCGAGTGTGAACTTGCAAACTGAAAAATTTGCAATCAACATTAACAATAACCAGTCCCTAGCTTGGCTGGCTGCTGCACCACTCACACCCCAAAAAGTTACAAAGAAAATGTTATTGCAGGGTAAGTGAGGTTCTTCAGGTATGCCCCACTGTGAGGGGAACCCTAGGGTGGATCCAGGACATGTTTCTTCTCTTGGCTGACCTGGGACCACCTTAGTACCCCCACAAAGAGCTAGAGGCCTGAGAGAGGGAGGTCTGATAATCTCTGTTCAGGCTCGTGACTGGATAAGGACAAATGGAGGGATGGATTGATTATTAGGAAATATGCACGTTGTGATCAGGTGAATACCGTTGCTTTTCCAAGTGTGCAGGTTTAGCAACACTGACTCCTAAAAATATGAATAACCCAAAACCCCCTTTCTAGATTTATGCCACTTTAGACAGGTGACAGTGAAAGTCTTATTTATTTTAAGGTAACACAAACCTAACAATTTTTAATTTCAGCTCTAAAAAAAATCACGATTGTGATCTCTGCCAATAGATCCCACTCGATCCTACTTTAATTACAGCATACGCCCATGAAGCACACTTCACAAGGTAACATATTATTTGGAACATGGGCAACTTATTTTTTTTAATTGGATGAAAGATGCAGAGCCAGTGATATATTTTTAAATCAGTTTCACTTCATGCTACTGAAGTGCTCTTTTGCCACCATTCAGAGAGACCGATTAAAAACCCAAATGCTGGCATGGCTGATTAATGTGCAGATTAATCAAATCTCTCTCGAGTGTTTCAGCTTAAACTTGAGCTTGTGCGTGTCTTTGGGAAACTGTTACTCATCACGCCAGCGCAGATGTTCTTTATAGTGGCACTAAAAAACTCAACATACGAGTGAATCACCCATCTTTTAAATTTTAGGGTCTAACTCCAAAGCTTAGATAAGAGAGCACTCAGTGTTTTAACATCAGCGATGTTTGAGGTTTTTTCCAGACCCGGAATTATTCATTTAAACGTGTCCTGATGTCTTCTGACCGCCCTAGGGTGGCTGTAGTTCACGTCAGATCCACCAGGAGGAAGTGTTGATTTACGTTTACCAGCCCTTTTCCCACTGAGGTGAACCCGGCAGGTAATTGCTCTGAGGTATTCTCACATGCGCTCCTGTGTTTGTGTGTCACATAGGAGGGGAAGCTTCCTGTTCTTAAGACTGCAATGATGAGATTTTATCTATTCTGCACTGTGTGTGTCCAGATTTGATGTTACATCTCGAAGGCAGCGGATCACGACCCCGCTTGGCGCCTGTACAATATCCCCATTTGGATGCTCTGTTTATCAGGTTTGAGCCCTAACTTGGTTTGCTGCATTCACCACTCCTCCTGGTCCATTCAGGTGGACGCACATCCAGTGGATTTTTGTTTTTCTTTGTGCAAAATTACATTGGTTTCTTTCTCATTTCCTCCTCAGTCTGTTTTCTCTTTTTCCTCCCTGTCACCGTCTCCCTCTGGTTGCCTTCCTCACTGTGTGTCCAAGCAGCTAGGTGTGTGTGTGTGTGTGTGTGTGTGTGTGTGTGTGTGTGTGTGTGTGTGTGTGTGTGTGTGTGTGTGTGTGTGTGTGTGTGTGTGTGTGTGTGTGTGTGTGTGTGTGTTTTCAGAGATGAGGGAGAGGAAGGCTTGTGAGCCCTCTGAGTTCCTGTGGTTGCAGCCCTTCCTCCCCTCTTCCTCCCTTTCCTCTTATTCTGTCTCCCTGCAGACGGCTCTGGATCTGACACTTAAATAAATATGAAAGTGCCCTATTTTTTTCCTCTTTCTGTCTGAGGATTCACACATTCCTCACAAGAAGCTACACAGGCAGCAGAGGAGGCGCGCATCTCTCTCATCCAGTGTTTTTTTTTTTTTTATTTCTTCCCCTCCCCTCCCCTTTCTAAACCCCATTGGAAAAAAAGTGCCACATTCTTACTTAGGTTGTTTAATTAGTGGCACTTTAAAGGATAAAGTTGGTGTCATATTATGTGAACAAATCCCATGAAAAGATCCCTATTGTAGCATATTCCTCAGTGCTATCTCAGGACGACAAAAGCAAACAAAACATGCCATTAAAAAAAAAAAACTTTAAGATTTTAGCAGTCCATGCTGGAGAAAGTCAGTCTTTGGTCCCCTATAGCTCCTCTCCTCACTAGCACACATAAAAGACTCAGAGCTAGGACAGCAATATGCTGCTATTTGTTGTTAATGGTGCTTGGCGATGCAGGCCAGTGCCGGCCGCTGAGCTACATTTATTTAAAGGTGCCCAGCCCGGCAATGTATCGAGGCTGCGGGAGGGTTAGGAGTGCAGGGTTGGGGGTGGTTTGAGATACATTATACTTTGTATAAATGAGAGAGTCACAACCAGACAAAAGCCGCTCACATTTGTTGTGATGCTGAGATGTAACCAACATGAATTTTTAAAGGCACACTTGTTATGCTTGTCCTTAAATTCTGCCACATATATATTGTGGTATCCGATCTTGAAAGTCAGGCTTTGTGCAGCACATGAGTCAAACACAGCCCAGTATAATATTAGTAAGAGCGTATATACTCAACATAGGAATCTCGCTCACACTGCTCCACCCACTTCCTGTTTATACCTTTTGCTTGCAAGCGGCGGCCAATCAGAAAGAAGTTGGCTTAAAAATGTAATAGAAGGGAAATTGTGAGTCATACAAAGCAACTCCAGTAGAATCCATCAATAAAAACACGGAGCAGGAAATGAGCATAACTGAGACTCATTATTTATTTCTGCTGCTATTTGTTAAAACGGTTAAAATCTGACATGGTGCTCTCACTGCTGCATAAACAAATGAACCTCTTTCATTACAGCTGCGCTCAGAGCCCGTCAGTTCTCTGCTTGCTCTTTTCCCACCGGGCACTTTCCACCATTCAGCTGAGAGCTCTGCTTATATCCGTGCCCGCTCTTCATATAGCACACAAATGTAAGTTAGTATTGTCACTGCCCACTTGCTGCTTGTGTTGAGCTTGATGCTGTTGACAGAGTCGGAGTGGAAAAGTCAAATCTGTAGATCATGTGCATTTATATTTTAATCCATTCCACGTGCGTGACTCAAAGCTGCACGAGCCAACAGGTTTGGAACGGACACGTTTGAAGATGCCGGCTGTGGACCTGCAAACTGAATGAAAGCACCGACTCTGTATGCAGTTCTGATGGGAATGCACAGGGCCTGCACTGGAAAACAAGCGTCTGTGTGTGCGTGTGTGTGCGCGTGTATATGATGATGATGATGAGTGCAAGCAAAAAGAAAGAGGGAGAGAGCGGCGGAGAGCAAGAAGCGTCTTGATTAATCATGATTGACTCATTCAGAGCCCACTCGTCTTTTCCCCCTCGCTCCCTCGCTCCAGCTCTCCTTTATGGCTTGATTACGGAGACGTACTCTATCTCTCATTACCTCCCCTCCTCCGTCTCTCACTTCTTTTCTTCATCTTTTCTCTCTTCCTCTGACAACCCCCCCACCACCAATACTACTCACCCCCCCCCCCCCCCTTCAACGCCTACCCAACTGCGCCACTTTATTCATCCCTCCCCGGAAAGGAGGCTGTCAATCTCCACGTCTGCCGTGTCTCCATCCTCTAACCCGCCGCCGCACTAGCCCTCCATCCATTCATCCCCGGCCCATCCATCAGTCATTCTTTTCCCTCTCTCCTTCCTTTTTCCCTCCCTGCCTCACTCATTCCTGCCACTTTGTGACTCTTTTATATATAAAATTTCCCCTCTTTCTCCGTTCAAAGCTTTCCTCTATTTATCTTCATCCCCCTTTTTCCTCCCTCTACTGCATTCAGTGATCAGTGTCTGCGTGTCTGTCAGGCACGCTCGGAAATGGAAAGAAGCAAACACACAAAGCAAAAACCCTCTCTCTCTCTCTCTCATTCTCAGCCTTTCTCTGTGTCTCTCTTCCTTTTCTCGCGGCCTCAGCTGGAGGAGCTGAGTGTTGACACAGCCTGGTCTAATACAGATGCTTCCAGAGATGCATCCTGGGAAAGCATCTCTTGGCCTGGTTTTCTAATCTTGTCTTGTCTCTGTACAGTTCCCGAACGCATGCACACGCACAGTTCATGCATGCTTTTATGTGTGTGCTGCATCTGATCTTTTCTGTGTGTGTGTGTGTGTGTGTGTGTGTGTGTGTGTGTGTGTGTGTGTGTGTGTGTGTGTGTGTGTGTGTGTGTGTGTGTGTGTGGCTGGTTTTCGAATGCAGAAAGAGAGATGAGAGACTATTCAAACTTTAATGCACTCATACGAGATACAAACGACCTTTCTCTCACTCCTTCATGCTCTGCCCTCTCCTTTACTCACCTTCCTCATCTCTTCTTTCCTTTTCTCTCATTCTTCACTTTGATATCTTCATCTTAAAAAAAAAACAACCCAAATTTTACTAACCCTTTGTCTCTCCGCTCTCTGTTCTCTCCTCTCTTTGCTCACCTCCTCTTTCCTCCTTGCTCATTCTCCATTCTCTTCATCATCTCACCCCATTTCATTCACTTCTCGTTTTCAGTTTTGTCTTTCATCTCTCACCCCGTTCTCGTGTTTGACTCATAACCACTCTCACCTTATCTCTATTACTCAGCATCTATCTCTGCTGCTTTTTTCCTGCCTGAGCCGCCTCTCTTGTTCTGCTGCCTAACGGCTGCCGTCTTCAACCAAGGCCTTTTTTTCCCCCTTTGGACATTTTTCGAATCTTTGTTGATAAAATTGTCAACACTGTCTTTTTTTTTTTTTAACAGTTGTTGATTTACTGTGAAGATAATCACAGAAATATTGTTATTAGAGTTTTTACACTGCTCTGTATCCGTGCTTTAGGTTTACAGCAAG